CACCTGCATTCTGTTTTGAATTTGATGTAAAGTGCATTGCACGGTAGTCTGTGTGCACTGCAATAAAGCAAAATAAAAGTCAAGCTTCTACTTAACACTGCCATGGCAACTTAGCCAGCAGTGGACCTTTAAAACCCTTTTATTTGATTTGTGCTACTAACAAATCTATTTAATTTTCCATTTTTGTTAATGTTCCTAAACATAAAGGGCTTGTATTTTACCAATTCCAGTATCCTAGTTTGTTTGTTTTTTTCCATATCGTTATTTTTTTTAGCAGAGCACTATGTCTTTTATAGATATTACTATATAGAGTGGAGTATTAAATTCATTTAATATACAATTTTGAATTTGACGAGTCTCACCCCTCAAAATGGTAGGTAACCTTCTACCTAGACAGGTCATACAGAACATAATTGTATGATTTACAATGCTTAGTATTTGGCATGGGACAAGATATAATTAGGTGGCAAAAGTAGGTGAAAAGCTAAAGGTTATGCAAAAGAAGTAGGGGAAATCTTTGTTGGAGAAATGTAGATGAGCATATGAAAATCACATGGTATGTGAAACCAGATGTACAAAAAAATGGTACCTTTGTCTAAGAAGCTTCCTAGCTTTACAGAGTTTCAAACTGAAATAACTAACACCTGATTCATTCATTCAGGTGCAATGATTGATAGAAATTGAAATAAAGTTGTTACTTTGGGTTGCAATAATACAATAATGATATTTTCTTACTGAAATTTGAAATGTGCATGTTGCAAATACCATTTATGTTCCATATTTCAGTATGTGTTTCTTTGTCAGGTTATCTGTAAGGTAATCAAATAGTGGTAAATGTGTCCATGGTAGGGGATTTATTTTTGTTTAGCTCTTAGAGTTAAAAACATATTAGAGTTAAAAACATATTACTATAACAAAGCACACAACTTGGAAAGGTCTCAAGTGTTTGACAACAAATAAGTTACAGCTTGTGAAATTGATTTAGTTCTGTAGAATTATGTCTGTGTTCAGATATTTGAAAAGTAAACATTTTCAGTAGTAATTTGTTGTCATAAATGTAAAGAGCATTTCATATTTTGTCATGACCAATTGATATTTTATTTCATTTATTAAATGCACATGAAAAATTGTTTGCGCCTAAACTACTCCTTCCACATGCAGAAGGTTGCAGACGTTGTAACCTTTAGTTGCAAAATTGCAAGTTGTCAATTTCACATGGTTATGTAAGATGTGTGCACTCATTGTGTGGTCCTCTCTTTCATTGTTTCTGAATAACCTGTTGTCACAAACGCCAGTGCTCTCACTTGTTAGAATATTCACGTTTACACAGGTACAGTATATGCTTTGGCAACAATTTACCAGTCATGCTAATAAAGCTATTTAAGTCTGATATTACACACACCGTAACTGTAGTATTCCCTTAGGTGCAGATGCTTTTTCCTGAGCAGGATATCAAATGAGATTAGACAAATTTACATGTAGGCTTCCACACCTTGAATCATAGAAAGCCATTGGATACACTCCAGCCTAGATAACATGAAAATTCCACTGGTTAAGTACATAGGTGAGAACAGACAATACCTGAATGAATAGAACATTATTCTCACAATTAGCATGATTTCTAATTTTCTAAGTTTTCTTTACAAGGTTTCTACCAGTGATTGTTTAGGAAAAAAGGCTGTTATTTCTCTTTGTTTAACCCACAAAAGCATGAAATGTATGATAATCCTGGACAATGTTATTATTTTACAGTTATATTTCTGTATTTAAAATAAAAAAACAAATAGAAAATGCCTTGATATTTTTTTCTCTCATTTTCTGCAACAGAATGCTGGAAATAAGATGTGGCCAATCACACCATAATGCTTTTTAGTTTTCATAATATAACCATGATCAGCCATAGTAGTATACCAGCACAGACAACTTTGCAAAAAAGGCACGTAGCTACTCTGTTCAACTTTAAAAGAAAATTGGAGAAGTCTTGTGAAATTGTTTGATAATAATTGCTTACATTTATATAGCACTTTTCTAGACACTCCACTCAAAGAGCTTTACATGTAATGGGGTCTCCCCTCCACCACCAATGTGCAGCATCCACCTGGATGATGCGATGGCAGCCATAGTGTGCCAGAATGCTCACCACACATCAGCTTTTGGGGGGGAGAGCAGAGGGATGAAGCCAGTTCATAGATGGGGATTATAAGGAGGCCATGATTGGTAAAGGCCAATGGGAAACTTGGCCAGGACGCCAGGGTAACACCAATACTCTTTTTGAGAGTATTTGAGAAAGGGTATGGGATTGGGATTTCTTGGGATTTCTAAACTCCAGAGAGAGTTTTATGTCTCTTTTGAAGGGTGGTGCCTTTTTACAGTATATTATCCCCTATACTGGGGCAATAGTACCCAGATAGGTCGCAGGGTGAGCGCCCCCTACTGGAACCCTCTAATACCTCTTCCAGCAGCAACCTTAGTTTTTACCAGGTATCCAGGTACTGGCCAGGATCACACCTGCTTAGCTTCAGTGGACTGCCACTTGTAAGCTGCAGGGTGATATGGCTGCTGGCATTATTGTTTGAGCAGGCATCTGCATCAGTTGCTGCTGGAAAAGGTGTTAGTAGGGCCAGCAAGGACCGCTCAACCTGCGGTCCATGTGGGTCCTAATGCCCCAGTATAGTGACGGGGACACCATACTGTAAACAGGCGCCGTCCTTCGGATGAGACGTAAAACCAAGGTCCTGACTCTCTGTGCTCATTATAAATCCCAGGGCGTTTCTTGAAAAGAGTATGGGTGTAACCCCAGCGTCCCGGCCAAATTTCCTATTGGCCCTTATCAGTCATGGCCTCCTAATAATCCCCATCTTTGAATTGGCTTCATTACTCTGTTCTCCTCCCCACTGATAGCTGATGTGTGGTGAGCATTCTGGCGCACTATGGCTGCCGTCGCATTATCCAGGTGGTGCTGCACATTGGTGGTGGTTACATTACCTGTAAAGCGCTTTGAGTGGAGTGTCCAGAAAAGCGCTATATAAGTATAAGCTATTATTATTATTATTATTATTGTTTTATTATTATTATTATTTTATTATTATTAAAGGTCAAGCTGGGAAAGGTGAAATGGGGAATTATCACCTTAGAGAGATCTTTGATCTCTACTGAAACACTTAGCCGTTCTTCTTCCTGTAAATGGCAGGTCATTATCTGCAGGAGAAGCAGTAAAAGAGATTACTCACTACACAAGATGTTCTCTGGGTGATATTATTTTGAAATGGCTTTAGGGGGCATATATACGTGTGATATTAGATCCATATTTGCAACTGACACAGCAGCTTCGGTTACTGGAAAAGGTGCCTGCTGTAGATGGTGGTCACAGACGGAACTGTGAACGAAGAGGATGTACAGAATCTGTGATCAGAGATACGAGATGATAGAGAGGAGTCAGGGAGAATGGTCCAGTCACAAGGTCATGCAGTTATCTTTGATCCATGGAATATACATTCTATCCATAGAATAGAAAGGGTGTTACGGTAAAAAGGAAATAACACTGGAATAAGATTGTGGGTACAAGAATTGAAATTTTACTTTTAATATAAATCATAATTGTAAGCGCTGTAAAAGAAATATTTGATCTTATTTTTTCCCTGTACATTTTCTGCTGATATAATCTGTTCATGATGGTAAACTATACAGATACATATTTACAATTTTATCAGTTATAATAAATGTCTTATGTTGAATTTATTGAATGCGTGCATACTGCTTTATTTAATTGCACTTCTAATTTAGTTATGTGCATGCTACAATAATGCATTATAATGTATATACATTGCAAATTCAGTACTTGTAAGTGACTGATATATAAAGTTGTAGGGGAAATTAGGAAGAACGTCTTGGACTATGTCTGCAAACTCTTAAACTTTACAGCAAAGATCCATCATCGTTATTAATGTGATCAAAACTACTTCAACTTTTGTTGGTTGTATTCCCACAAGTGTTAACTTTCAAATTACTTTCTCCAACTTTACTATGTACTGTAAAATTTGAGGGCTGTTTTTATTGCATATTTAATCTGCTGTCCAAATATTTTAATGGAAAAGATTTTTAATCAGGGTAGTTATTTATTGGCAAGGTTTTGTATGTAATGTGTCTTTAATCTTGTGTAGTTTCACTTTTTACCCAAGAATACTCATAAATTGCATAAATGGTTTAAAGACCCAACCACTAAGAAGTATTAGTGGTACAAGTCTGTTTCTACAGCAGCTTTTCCTAACAATTTAATTGCATTAGGAACAGCTTTCAGTTGTCTGCACTGGCAAGGAAATCCACATGAAACAAGAACCAAGAGAATTTTTACACCAACCGTTGTCTTTTCATAAAAAACAGATTAAAGGATTTTTTAATTTGAAAAGCATGTAGCAAGATTGGTTCTGATCTGTGCACTATCTACAAAACCTGTGACATTTAGACAGCCCCGAGTGACAGCTTTCAAAATGAAACACATTTGGTGTTTTTCCACTTTCAACAGAGACACGATTTAAGCCTTCCCAGAAAAAAATATTTTTGTGTGGATGTGTAGGATGTTGTTCCAAGCATGAATTGAATAGCTTAATCTGGGATTCGTGAGGACTGAGTTCTTGACATTCTAGAAGGAATGAGAAATTGTTTTTTACATAGTTTTAAAACTCTGTACTTTGGCACCTAGATTGGCATCTGTAATTGATTGAACTGTCCATTCCATTCTCTGCAAGACTGCGTCATTATTAAAACTCGTGTTCAAATGCAGAGGTCTTAATCATGAAGTATTCCCACAAGCACCAAAAGCACACTGTTTTTGAAAATCATAAATTTTTCCAAATTCAGCAACCTATTTTACAGCACATAAGAATTTATGTTCTCCAAAAGCGATTATTTGAAAACCCTAAATCCTTTTATTGTTTAAGTGATGGTGATTTTCTTTCCCCCAGCAAAACAATAAGGATTGTTGTTTCTGTTTTGTTCCTCAGTGGGCAATTTGCTGTGGTCAAAAAATGTCGGGAGAAGAGCACTGGTGTGGAATATGCAGCAAAATCCATCAAAAAGCGTCGAAGCAAGTCCAGCCGCAGAGGGGTGACCAAAGAAGACATAGAGCGAGAAGTCAGCATATTGAAAGAGATCCAGCACCCGAATGTGATCACTCTGCACGACGTGTACGAGAACAAAACGGACGTTATTTTAATTCTAGAGCTGTAAGTAGAGGTGCTCAGTCTTTTGTTGCTTCATGATGCTTCAGAGTCCAAGAGTTTAATTGCCATGACCTTTCAAATTGTCTGACCCATTTTTAATTTCAGCTAATGACTTGGTTGATTTGAATTGCATCAGATATTTAATATCTCAAGGAGCAATGCTGACAGTACTACAGGAATGGCATATAAAGTATCAGTGACACTAGATTAAAATTATTCTGGTCACTCCTGTAAGCCATGATACGGTTATATAAATAGCTCGGTTGTATACAGTGAATGTCACTGAAGAGGATTTTTTTTCCTGCAATATTGAAAACAGTAATGTATTACTAAAAAGTCTTGCTTTATTAATGCAGTTATTAATTTTGTAAATATGCCATTAACTTTCAATCACTGGCATTTAACAGTTGTATTAGCATATACTGTAAATAGTGAACACAGTGCATTAAACAGTTTTTGAGAATATCACACAACATATTAGACGCATGCTGGAAAGCTATGAATCGTTAAGAATACTTCGTAAAAACACTCACTGAGAGTCATCAGTTGTTTGGTTAAGACAGGGATCCGATCTTGGATGGCCAAGGTGTCTATGGGTTTCCTGTCAGGGTGAGCTCTACACAACGTCAGTCAGCTTAGTGTTGACTGAATTGGTCTCGTTTAAGAGCTTTTCCCAGTTATTCAGATTCTTTAAAAAAACTTGGAAAATTGTAGATGCACCACCCTCCAGGACCAGAATTGCAGACCTCTGGGTTTTGGGTTAAGAGGTGTTAAAGCCAATTAATTGGAGGATACAGGTGTAGGTGTTGCTGCCGTTACTGTGTGTTTGACCATTTTTTTTTTCCATTGCACTATGCTTTGAGGCTTTTGCAAATACAATACTTATGAATATATTTTTTGTTATTATAAGGTTGATTCTGGTTTTAAAACAAGTACCTGCCTCCTTTTGTATTGTTTGCTTTATTTGGTAGATAATTATTTTTTAAATAAATGCATTTTTATATTTATTTTTCTCTAAACAAATATACTTATGTGAGCACAGGTCAAAGACTGAATCACTACATGAAATACCTATAGAGTATAGCAGGTTTATACTTTGTCATTTTGTGTTATATTGATTAACAGGGAAATAGTGCGATATGAATTAATAGTACTTAATCATATTTGTGGGAGAACTTTATATATGTAAGAATCTTCAGTATTGTCTTTTATCATTGTTTTAGAAAATGTAAACTTTGCTGTGCAGCAAAGTATACACTTTAAAACTAATGGAAGATTGTTTCCTATGAAATAAACTTTGCAATATGTGGTTGTATATCATCTGGGTCAGTATGGCCCAGATGATATACAAGATTATAATATTAATAAGAAAATACAGGAATCAACTGAACAAGTGTAAAACTAACTGAAACACAGAGGAATGAAATTGTAGGATGTAGATGATCAATTCTTTTGTTTAATCATGTGGAAAGTTTTGTAATGGAATTTAACGCTGACAATGGTTAGCAATCAGAATTTTGAATTTAATATTACAGAATTTAAGAGATTTTACACTGCTTCCATTCCAAAAACAATAATTACCATTAAGAATGGAGCACATCATATTCACACATCTATTTTCCTGTCAAAATACAGCGGCTGTGCTCCGCCTTATAAAATAACATAATTATTTAGTGAGATATCTTACCACCTTTTTACACACATGCACCGTACAAAATGTTGACACTAAGATGCCTATTATAAAGACAATGAAAGTAGTCAGTTCCAGAGCAAAAAATGATTATTTCACATGTTATTTGTGCATAAAATTGAATCTAGTAGTCATGACAACGTTGCAGGCAGTTATTTTCATAAATGATCCACTTTAACTTTGAATAGTAATTTTGGGATTTTACAGACATGCCAGAATTTAAGTTTCAGCATTTGGTAGGTATTTTATTAACTCCTCTGGTCCCATAAAGTGGAAACCTGGTAAGTATTGTAAGGTTCGTTGTCGGATAAGGTTAAATCTTACTAAAACTTACTAAACAGTCTTACTGTTTTCTAACTAAATTAGGACATATTTTAAGATGTGAATATTGCTGTTAA